GGAGGAATTTTTGGTTTATGTCATTTTTGTTCACACTGCAGTTCATTTTGTTAGGGATTGTTGCACTATTTTATAATTAAAAAATAGACACTTTGTATCAGAGAACTCGGGTCACTGGACAGCTCTTGACTAGTTTAAAAACCTTTAACTAATTTAGAATATAAAGGTATTTTAAGCCCCTTTTAGACCTGAGAAATTGTAAGTTTTCATTAAGATTTCATCATGTATATTTGTTTACTTTTTGCAGCTTATTATTCTGTAAAAGTCAACATTTTCTTTTTTTTCCTGCAATATGTTCCGTTTTTCTTCCCCTTTTTTATATTACATATATTATTTTATTTTTTTTGTAGTCTCCAGCAGCTCTTTCTGCGAGGCACTGAGCAGAGGGTTCTGAGCAGGGCTGCCCGTTAGGTGAGGGGAGGGCTGGGTTTGGAGCCCCGCAGCTCGTTGTAGGGCTGTGCTGCCGGGGAGAGCAGGAGTGCCGGGACAGCATTCCCGGCGGGACAGCATTCCCGGCGGGACAGCCGGGCAGGGCAGCGGGCCGGGAAGGGGCCGCCGCTCACCTGCGGCGGGGCCGGGAAGGAGGGAGCGGGGCCGGGATCCCGGGCAGGGACAGGGCACGATCCTGCCCCAGGCCGGGGCTCGCTGCTGCTGCCCCGCCTTGTCAGCAGTGGGCACAGGCAGAAAAAATGGCATTGCCCTCGGTTACGAGCTCTGTACGGCAAAAAAAAGAGGAGAAATGTTGGAACATAAACAGACTTGCGTCGGTAGCACCCTTAAAATCCTGCTGATGCAACACCCCACTTTAATGCCTCCTTTCTTAAAGAAAAAAACCCCCAAAAACACCCACTTGTCCTCCTGCCAGAGTTTCACTTATGTCGGTACCAGTTTAATGCCAAGTTTTCCATAAAACATCATTGTTAAAATACAGTGTACCGGAGGAAGTGTTTTTGCAAAATGCTTCATTATGTTTTGAAGGGAAGGGTGTGGAAATACGTCTTTATTCAGCTTGCCTGTAGAGTTCAGATCTTTTCAGAATTGTCTGTTTGGGATTTCAGTGTTTTTCCCCCGTGATTAATGGGCCACTGATCCATTGGAATTAATGCAAGTTATGCAACAGTAGATAGAACTTCCCCAAGTAACCTGCCTGCTGTGTAATCGCCGTCCTTTCCCTGGTGTGCACCAGCTGTGATCCTGCAGAGTGTCTGTGGCTCCTTTGGGAGCGATGGGCAAGACTGCTTTGTTTTTACAGATAGATTTTAATAATTATTATTTTTAATTCCTGGAGAGTGCCTTTAAAAAGAAAAGCTCTCTAAATGTTAAGTAAAGCTATTCTTGGCGATGCACTGGAATTATAACATGCATTGGAATTATTTTAATGGTACAATAAAAAAAAAAGGAGAATTTATACTTTGCTGGATAACTTAATCCTAAAAAAATGTTTGATTATATTATTTTTAAAAAAAACAAACATGTACCTGATAGTTTTTTATTATTATTTATATTATTTATTATTTTATTATTTATTATTTATATTTCTGGTGGCTGCTAGATTAGAAACCACCCCATATTGAAAATTAACTATATTGTCTGGAAAGCAAAAAAGTCTGTTCAGAGGTGACCTCAGTGTGGATGTCTGTATCACACCAAACTGAGACCGAAGAACAAGAGATGCTACTCTGAGTTAAAACAGAAGCAAATGAATTAGTGTTCAGCAGGAGAATTTATAATGAGTTTCCGATAGGCAGAACTTGTGATAAAGGGAAAAAGAGAGGTTATAGAATTATGTAATAGTATAAACTCTGGTGTGAAAATACTGGCTTGCTACTATTTACATAATTTGAATTTATTCAGGCATACTGAATCTTAAAATAATTCCTCCACTTCCCTCTTTGGAATTCCATTTCTGTTAAGTGAAACTTAGAAATTGGACTTTGTGTAATTGTTTTCCTCTTTCCCGAATCCTTATTTTTTAGTACTGTGGTAACCTAAAGTTAGACAACTTTCAGTGCAGTTTGCCCGTGGTGGTGACAGACAGAACACGTTAATGTATCTCCTGGAGCAAGGGCAGCAATGGGAGAATACGAGCCCTAACCGTGTAAAGGCGAGGCACTTGGAACCCTCCGGAGGCACCACAATTGTCCCTGTTAGGAGCGGGCAAAAGCAGGGAGGAACCACAGCTGTTTCCACATTTATACAAAAGTGAGAAATCAAGGGTAGGCATAGAGAGTAAGGAAAAAGGAGATCGATATTTTATATAGAAAGCATACAAATAAATAAGGAGCTAAAGGTAGTGTCTGATAAACAGGGAGGAAAGTCATTCAGAAAGCTGATTAAGTACAAGTGAAACACTGTGAACTAAGCTCCTTGTATACTTAAGTCCAACCCTTCCCCAAAAAATAGGTCTGCCTGTTATTTTACATTGGCATTAAAAGTTGTTGCCTGCACTCTCACATGTAATCTCTTTTTTTCTGTGCAGGGTTAACATTGTCATTTGTGCATGTTCTGTTACAATAAATACTATCAGGAATGTCATGCCATTATTTTTAAACAAAAATGATAAGAGTTTTAGCTGGACATTATGGCTGTCTGCTGCTAAGGCTGTTATGCAGAAATTTTGCTTGCTTTTACTTTTTAACCACCCAGAATTTAGGCATGCATATTCTCTGCATCCACAGTCTATATGCAATAGAGACTGAAGTTATTAGAGAGGTCAGAATTACTAGGTGTCATTTTACCAAAATAAAAATTTGTGGGAAAGTCACTGTTTAAATGTCTTGTCAACTATGTCCTGATAATCTTTAGTATGCTTTTACTATAATTCCCTACAAATAAATATTAAAAACATTTTGTGGTTTCACAGCATTAAAAAAAAAAGTCGGTAAGGGTAAACCATAAAACATATATTTGGCTTACAAAAGGAAATGTTTATTCTCCTCCGAATGCCAGTGGTTGAGCATTTTCTGGAGATCTGAGGCTGGAGGGAAATGTGTAACAAAGATTCCCTCACTGTGGCACTGCAGGAGTCACGGACGCTGGGCACAGCCATCTCCAGGAGAGCCACCCGTGCCCCCTGTGCCTCCTGGCTGGTGCTGTGCCCGGGGGGAGCAGAGGGGTGGCAGTCAGGCCTGGGCACAGGGAGCTGGGCTCGGGGCTGTGCCCGCGGCTCCAACGGCTGCCCTGCCACCTGGGACACCTCGGGCACGGATGGAGCCTCTGTCAGCAGCCTGGCCACGGCTGGGCATTTCCCTGCTGCACTCAGAACAGCCCCAGGAGGCTGTGGGAGAAGGGAGTGCATCCCGGAAAGTCTCTGACTCTGGAGCTCTCTGCTCCATTCCGCAGGGCTCTGTGCTGGAGAGCAGCCTCTTTGGGTGGGATAGAGACTCATGTCTGTGAGTTCCATTGCACTTTTTCCTATCACCTAATGATCAATACTTAGTGGAATAAAAGATCAATTAATATATTCTTTTTCCTGAAGAATATTTTACAAACTCTTAGAAACATACGGTATTGACTTTTCCGATCAGTTGAAGCTGCCTAGATGCTTTAAAAGTACATCAGGAAAGCAATGATAGCATAAGCAAAATCAATAGGAAGTAAGAGGGGACAACTATGACTTTCCTTAAGTAACTATGTAATCCCTTTTTTCTTACAGTAACATATTTTCCACAAAGAAGACTCTTCAAGGTTGAATCCAGTACAGTCTCCTCCCTCCCCCTTCCTCCCCCCCTCCAGTGTAGGGCAAATCAAATGCTTGACAACATTTTTTGTTAGGAAAGCACACGAAAAAAAATTTTGAATATACCAATAACAGCAAAAGTCTCTATATTTTTATTGCAAGAAGGAGATTTCATTGGCTGGGTGAAATGGCGAGATGTGACGCAGAAGGACACTTGGACGGTGGAAATGCTGATGTATGCCAAAGCAGGCGCACCAAGAAATGCTGTTGCTATGAGAGAAACAGGGAGAGGGAGGGAGGGAGGGACAGACCGTGAGAGAGCAACTTGTGGAGGCCTTAGTTTTCCTTTTTGGCTTAGAGCAGAGAGGCTGCAGCGTCTCCCGTTCCTAGCAGAGAGGGTTTAGGAGCTTCCAGTGGGTATTTTCATCAGGCTGAGCATTTAGAGGAAGGGAGGTTGACAAGAGAGATGCAGGTCACCTTAGAGTACAAAAGCAATTGGAAAGTAGGAGGCTGTATGTACCGAGCCAATGATCTGTGCTATGATAGATACACAAATTAGTACCACAGATGAAGCAGCTTAGCTCATTATCCACCTGATGGTATGAGACTTACAATTCAAAATGACAAAATTTAAATGCAGACACACACAGACATATATTTATAATGACCCCACCTTTTCATCTTAGGAATTATCCAGCTGGGATACCGACGTCTCTTGTGTAACGTTCTTAAAGAGCTGCAATAAATTCACCTTTGAGTCCATTAGCCAGAAAAGGGGGAAAATAATTTGCAGGAAATTTTTTTTTTGTCTTTCTTCTTCGGCAAAGGGGAAAAAAGTTTGTGCTATGAACTTAGTCGAGCAGCTTCTGGAACGTGAGCCAAAAGGGGCAGGAAGTTGTTTTACAATAGCGTTACAGTGATCTGCCACAAATGGAAAAAGCCAAATGTTGGACTCGGCAAAGAGCAAAAACATCCTTCTCCCCCCTCGCTTGCCTCCTCTTGCCCCGTAAGAGAGAAAGAGGGAAAGGAACGCTGAGCTAGAGGTTCTTTTTCCTTTTTTAATTACTGCTTGTAAGTAATGGAAAGATTATCTTACTTGCATATTCCATGGCAAGCACGAGGGAAAGAAGTATCAAAGGGACGTTTAAAAAAATGCACTTGGTAACTAGCAACGGGACTTTTGGCACAATTCCTTGAGTTTGCTTGAGGTTATGGAGGGGGGATGGGAAGAAGAAAAGCGAGTCGATGCGGTACGTTTTCTTTGAAAGGGGGGGAGAATGGAGGCAAAACTATATAAAACTTTTTTTTTTTTTTTTTTAAGGAAATGTGTGTTGATCCTCTGAAGCCGAATCCTCAGGCATTTGTGGCCCGTCCTTGCAGCCCGGTATGTTTTTTGTGAGTGTGTGCGAGCGCTCTCAATCAAACAGCAATCATGGCAGCTGTTTTTCTTCCAGCACAGCAGTTGAGCTGTCTCGCCCAAATGCTTATCAGCTTTTGACTCGGTGCCAAGAGAGTTATAAGGGCCAAGCAGCCTGAGCTCGGCTGTGCAGCTGGTTTGGAAGTAAGGGCATGAGAAAACAAAATCACAAAGTTTTTTTGTCACATACAGTATTTACTTTTTCAAATAGCCATTTTCAGCTCGGTGGGTTGGGGCTGGTTTTGTGTGTGTGTGTGTGCTGCAGTCCGCGGTCCTTTTGGACTGCTGTGCGACACAGCCGGGGAGGTACGTGTGAGTGTAAAGGGGAGCCTCTCCTCTCCGTATGAATCCCGGCAGTATTTCCGTAGAAACCGCCCCAGCTTCCCCCGGTGCAAAGCTTCATTAGCCGCACTGCCCTGTCAAGCATACTGCCATAGCGCGGCTGCACTGACGTTCCAGCGCAGCGCCTTTGCTCCCTCCGCTCCCTCCCTCCGGGTCCCCATCGCGGCCCGGCTCGGTGCCGTCCGTGTGCCCGTGGCTGCGGGGGATGGAAGGAGCCTGCCCGCGCAGGGCCGTGCCGCTTTCATCATCAGCTCCAGCCCGCTGCGTTTCGCTGGCTCACGTCCTCCTCCTCCTCCTCCGCCAGACTGCTCCAGTCGCTCACAAGGGGGAGGCCGGACTCTGGAAAGGCGGCCGCTGCTCGCATTCCTGCTGCAAGGGCCTCCCCTTCAGACGGCCTTTGCCAGAGCAGAACTTTTAAAAATGCTGCAAATAGGATCTTCTTTTTTCTCTGCTTGCCTGAGCCCTCCTCTCCTCTCCCAGCGTTCCCGAGTGGGGCTGGTTCTCGCTTCTCCTGCGCTGTACATCCCAATGCGGAGGGCGAAGCGCCCAGGGCTCGCCCTCTGCTCATCCTTTCCCCTCTCTCCCTTTTCCTCCGTTGAGGAAATGGATTCCTTTGCCTGAGCAATGACTCCGGCTTTGCTGGTTCGTGTGCTCTGAGGATGAAGGCTTTTACTTGTGATTTTCCTCCCCCGGCTCCCAGTGCGCAGTGCTGCTCGGGGAACGAGCCTCTCGCTGCCTTTCTCTTTCTCTTTTATAGAAATATATTTTTAATGGCTGTAGGTATCTGCGCCATGTGAAATAGGGCGGGTGATATCCCTCCAACCCCTCGTAATTGGACCATGGCTGGAATGGAAATATTGGGGGGGGGAATAGGGGGTGCACAGGCTGTTTCGTCCTTGCAGACCTCCCCCCCCTCTCTTCTTTGCCGAGGAGGGAAAAGGGGATGTGCAGTAAAATGCCGTCTCTGGGACAGGTGCCAGCTCCTAGACAAAAGAAGTAGAATAGGCGGTAAAGGGGGGGGGGGAGATTAATAGGCAACAAAAATAGGAACCGAAAATCTCCGAGTGCAGCGCTGGCGAAAGGGCTGGTGCCCGACCGGCCTTTTTGCTGAATATTTTCTGTGCGATGGGTGGGAAGGAGAAAGTTGCGGCACACTTTTTATTCCCGTCTCCTCTGCAGACGTTTGGGAGCGTGAAGGGAGGGTGGAGGGCGCCTTTTTTTTTTTTTCCCCTCCCTTCTTCTTTTCCCTCCTTTCTACTGAATTATTCATAGTGTCAGTGGTGAAGCCAGGACTATTAGCATGCATCAGACATGCTGTTTGTCTGTTTGCTAACATTCTTCATTCAAGACTTGTTAACTACCAGACAAGCTTAACACGCTTCTCTTTTTCCCCTCCCCTCCTCTCTCCCTCCGTCTCTCCCCCTCCCTCCTTCCCTCCCTCCTTCCTCTGGCATCTCCCTTCCCTCCTGCCTGCCCTGCTGCCTTCCCTTCCCTTCTCCGCCGTCCGTGCCACCCTCGCAGCCGCCCATTGTTGCCGCGGGGCCGGTGCGGGTCTCTGGGCGAGGCCCTGCCCGGCCGCGCCGCCCGCGGGGACTGCGGAGCCGCATCCAGCCCTGCCGGGTAAGCTGCTCCCGCCGGGGCGCGGGGGATGCCAGCCGGGAGAACCAAGTTTGGGAACTACGTGGGGATCGGCACATTGGCTCGCGTCTGCCTGCGCATTTATGATTAACCAGGAGTGCGGGATCAGCCCGGCGAGCTCCGCGCTCGTGCGGGAGGATTGCTTTGCTGGCGATTAGGGATGTGATAGACTAATATTTGCTATTGTTGCTGTTTTTTAGGTTCTCTTCTCCTTCTCTATCGAGTCTGCCCCTCCCTTCGCTAGCCTGTTTAAAACCAGCAAGCTTCATTTTCTTAGCAGACAAAGGTCGCTCACAGCTTTTATTTCTGAATGCAAATGTTCTAGGACTTGTGCCAGTCCTGCCTTCATTGAGCACAATATAGCTGCTTTCCTGAATGGCGCTTCCCCCTTCCCTTCGAGAAAAAAAAATAGAAGGGAGCTTCAGAGAAGAAGCAAAGTTGGGCGGTGCAAGTTTTTACATTTATTTAATATTTCAGCCTGTGTGGAGCATTATTAAGCATCCCTGTGCTGAGCAGCTCCAAGGCAGCCGCCAACCAGTGCGTGGGGTGTGTTTGTAGGGGCACACACGAGAGAGGGGCCGCGGCCGCATTGCTCAACTCCTGGCTCTGCAGGTAACTATGGGATGATCTTCAGTCATTGCACCTCATCAATGAGGGCTTCCCGATTTTCCTAGCAACGTGAATTTGAACATAAGTATTTTCAGGGTTCATATTTAAATTTTGTAATACCTGGAATTGTTCGGGATCGGTTTATAATTGCCATCTTTATCAGATATTTTTAAAAACTATTTTTCCAGGCCTTTAAAGGTCCGTAAGTGCCATAAGTGTATTTTCTCTTTATCTTCTGCGTGCGCACACGGGCACATGCTCACGCGCACTCCCACTCTCTTTCTCTTCGGGTGTTAATGAAGGAATTTATTTTAAGTAGAACACTTAAATATTAGAATAATGCCATTTATAGACCAAAGTAGCATGTGGACATGGATGTTCTGAGTTAGGCGCAATTTGACAGATGGTTAAACGCTTTAGATTTATTACTACTATGAAGTTACCAGACCTATGATAATACTTACTTTGAATTCTTTATATAGACAAGTCCATGTGCAAATTCAAGTACCTGGAAATTAATATATTTTAAAGATACTTTACGAGGAATCTATTCCTTTTGTATATATTTCTAAAATAAAATGCTTTTTCTACACTGGAAAAAAAGGGGACACTTCTGTAAATTATTTTAATCTTTTAATTTTATTTATGTCTAGGATTTAAAGTAAATAACTAAAGAAATGCAAATAAGTTTGGGGGTTTTGTCCACAAAGCAAACAAACAAAAAACCCTTAACCCCTACAAAATAACTGGAAAATACCTAGTGCTTATACACAAATAGTTTTAAATTCAGGCCACTGACAGCATTGTATCAAAATCATCTCCGTAGTGGCTTTGCATTAGGAGTGTTTTATGGCAACATAAACTGAAATACAACTCATAACTGTAAGTAGTAAAACAGTATTTATTGGCCGATCACTCTAAAAGTAGCTGGAGAATGTTTTAGTGAACTGTGTAGATTAAGAAAGGAATTTAGGAGCATATGGCTTGGTGATAGCTAAAATTAATTTCTTCAAAGGAGTTTTTAGAGGCCTGTAGTAGCTACACAGTACAGTGCAGATAAAATATTAGTTGAGGGTTTTAACTCGCAGTCGTTACAAAATCATAAACTGCTGAACACTCCTCACTGAGAAATTTCAGAGTGCTCGGTGGTATTGCTCCTAATGATGCCGTTTATCTAAAGAGGATTTTTTTTCATCCTTAGGTTGTAATACTTGGGGGGCTGTTTTGTTGCTGAGGACTAGCAGTTAAAGGAATATGAAATTGCTTCTGGTGTATTAGTTCATTATTTTGTGGTGGCTTGCTAGAAATGATGTCTCTGAACATAAAATGAGCAGAATTGCTTGGTTCATTTCGCAGGGAGGATTTCTGTAAGCATGCTAAAAATGAACATAGCAGTGCAGAAAGACCATGTGCGTGTTAATTGAAGAGGGATTAAAATCTGTTCATTAGATTGGTGAATTCCAGGTTTCAAAATTAAAATTATTTTTAGTCTGTAACGTGAAATATAGCTGCAGATAGAACTATTCAGCCCCTCAGATGAATACCTTCAGGAATTATGCACGTGAGCTGGAGCATTTACATTTTGAAAGTGTTTTGTGTTGGACTGCCAAGATTCTCGTACAAAATGTTTGGTGCACGGAATGAAAAATTAGAAGCATAGACAATACTTTGCTTAATTAAAATATTAATTTTTTTAATAGCTGGCTAGGATGAAGTTTTGCATATTTTCAGATAATAATTGAGGGAAACAGTGAAAATAATCTAAGATGCGCTGGTTTTGCTCCCAGCTCCGTCTTTCTCCCTCGTCCTCCAAATGGATAGTTGTCCTTCAAAAGGATATTTTAGGTGTTGCTGATAAGTGAATGATCCATTCTTAGCCTCCCACCTATCCTGACTAAAAATCTGTGTTTTACCGAGTGCTAGTGAGCGGGGAACACGAGGGCAAGGTCCATGTGTTCCAGGCCTGGCAGGAGCGCCGCGCTCCGTACGTGGCACAGCGGCGATCCCGGGGGAGCGGGCTGATCCCGGGGGAGCGGGCTGATCCCGGGGGAGCGGGCTGATCCCGGGGGAATGGGTCCACAGCCCAGGCAGGGGGGCTGCCATGGCATCCTTGCTGTCAGAGATGGCAAGTGGGGCGTCTGCCAAAAGTTTTTAAAATTAATTGCAGTTCTGTCGGGTGCACACTGCCAGGTTTGGATCAGGGTAAGAGAGATTTTATTATGGGTAAAGGAGAGGGAAAAGGGAGGAGGTGCAGAAGAGAAAGGGAAAGGGAATGGAGCTGGAGTTAGTACTTTCAGATACACTGTGGGTGCCGTCCCGGGTTCTTGTCTTCCTGGAATACAGTGAATAGATAGATCTGTAAGGCTGGGTTGTATTTT